GTAGTAGTAGTAGTAGTAGTAGTAGTAGTAGTAGTAGTAGTAGTAGTGGTAGTAGTAGTAGTCAGGAGTCTATAAGACCTTTTGGAGTTTCCCAAGGAGTGAATCCAAAGGAGAGCCAACTGGTTGAGAAGGGTGGGGCAAACGGACATGAATCAAACACACATCATATAAAGCTTGCAATAGGAACTCCAATAATCAGCTGGTTTGTGTAGGAACGACCATGGTTAGAGCCAATGGGAATTCCAGGTTGTGATTCCGCATTCCAGAGTGACTCAACAAGTATGCTGCCCTGCACATTTGGTTTCGAACCAAGAACGCTACCAATTACTTACCGCCTCTGCACTCAGCAACTTCGAAGAAGACACTTAGTATAACATCCCGATGGAAGGACAGAAGGACAGAAATCCCAGCTTCCAAAAGGGCAAAACGAAGCAAACATCCCCGCATCCCACGTCTCCAACCCCCTGCGGCCTTTGTCGGAGTGCGGGGCGCACCTGGTGAGGACAAAACGTGCGTCGGTCGACGGACGGTCCTCGGGGTCTTTTCGGGGCCAAGCAACGTGGCATCGATTCCCTCCAAGGTCATGGAAAGCCACTGAAGAAACTGAAGAGGCTTGAAAGAGTCATATTTTATCCAATTGTACCGTAGATACTCCATGCAACAGTGCTTCCTTTTGGCAGCCCGCGGTGGATTTAAAGTCATTTGCAAATCCTTAGTCCAATAAGTCCGGCAAACTTGAACCCAAAGTAGCTCGCAACATCATGTTTACTTGATTGATCTCAAGAATAAATTCAATCGTTTTGGTAGCATGATGTTTCATTGCAAAGATTGATAGCCAACTAGTTACGGTGGCCACCCGGCACATCAACCCGCAACAGAATTGGATAATGTATCAAACAAATACCCCACCTGTGCATCTATCACTTGTCTACTTCCAGATATCATGCAATGACCAAACATTCTATATAGTCAACAACAAATCGACAATGTTGCACTTCCATCTGTTTCAAGTGTTTGAACCCCAAATTGTCATTCTGACCTCGAACAAAAACCAAATGTCAAAAAGGGAAGGCTTCTTCGATGCTCGAAGGAACCAAAAGCACTCCCTAGGGCTCCAATCATATCCTCAAGTAGTTAGATGCCCCAAACCTACCACAGCCACCTTCTCAGGAGGCAAATTGGAGCCCATGACAACCGCAATGCCACTTCAGCCCAGGCGCAGCAATCCGTGAAGACGGATGTTTTGGCTGCCTTGGGACAATCGGACACCTATCAAAGAACTGGGTGTTTGGGCAAACAAGGAAACTGTTCACTCTGCCAAATCTGCCAAGAATGTATCGTCATCTTGGACTAGATAGAGACTGGACAGTTCAATCAACAACAGAAAACAGGGATCAACAGGGTCATGTTTTTGGATTCGTTCATATCATATCATATCTATTCCAGGGTATAATTATATGTTTTCGGTGCTCATTGGTCATCAGTCCGGCTCAACATGACCTGCCCAACAGTCACCCGCCTCCGAGTTTCTGACCTCGAAGCAATGGTCGAACAGGAGCATCGATCAAAACCGTCTATCAAAACTGAAAGCCAAACGGTCGAAGTGCATACTGTAGCGGGCAAACAATCATGCCCGGCAAAACATAACATAACGCATTTCGAGTTCAAGAATCGTTCTTGGTTGACAAATTGCATTTACAATACACTGGCATGGGCATCTTAAGCCAGAGTATGAAAGTGACGAAAAGAATCATATAGAGACCTAAAGCTGCCGATATGTAAAAAATAGCAACTGAGGGGCCCCGTCTGTGCCCCGTCTGTGCAGACTCTTTCTGAGCTTTTCACGCCGTCCCCGGGTTTGTTTGTGGCTTCTCGACCTGAGACCCACATGGTTCGATCACTTGACTCCAAAAGATTCCTGCGTTTTTCAGCTTGGAAAAGGGTGAATTCGCCTCAAGCGATCTTGATCTCATCTCCGGATTCCGGGCAGCACTTACCCCAATTGAAAAGCAAACAACCACTGTCACAAGAGTTCTGCATCAAAGAACTCGACTCAATCTGATTGGTGTGATCGCGCCAGTCGCCTCTTTTCCATGGCTTCTGCAAACCCTCCGGCTGCTTGGTGCTTTGAAAAGCTCAGCTTAGACCAGCTTGCCTGGCGTAGCTATGCGTCCCCGGAGGCGTCCCCGGAGGCACAACTCGGGCCTTGAGACGAAGGCACTGGACCACTGGTAAGGGTCAATACGTAGAACCCACATGTCGCGAACAAAGGTTGTAAAAAGTAACATGTCCTAAAACGAGGAACAAAGCAGTCATAGCAAAAACTGGAGGACCGGGAAAAAGATGAAGTCAATCACTAATATTATGTTTTCCACATCACGCTTTCTTTCGCAGATGTTTCTTGAGTCTGTTGAGTCGAGCATTGACACCCAAACCATAGCGCTGCGCTTTTTTGCATGCACGGATCCCAAATCATGATGTTAAAACTCTGAGGAGTTAGCTGAACAAAATGTGGTTTCTCGGGCAAACATTTATCCATCCAGGTCCAAGTCCTCCAAGTGAAAATGACTGTTCCAAGGCCTGTCAACACCTGACAAGAAGAAAAAACAATCGTTGTAGTAACTGGTGTTCTTCTGGGTAATCGGGCCTTGAGTGGGGAACCAACTCATTCACAGGGACTTCCACTAGATCCAAACCATACGCCAGCGTCGCAGAACTACTCTTGAAAGACTTTGCCAAGTTCATGGTGGTAACAAAGGTCATGGACACGGAGTGGTATGAAATTTATCTCCGGGAATTTCCGGCACAGTTCCGTGAATGTACACGACCTTTTCGGGAATTTCCCCTACATTTTTCCCCCACCAATTTGGTTCAAAGTTGCAACTCCACACTTATTGTCTCCGGATGAAGTAATTAAGCTCAAACTCCGAAGCTGGGATCAAATCTTTACAGTACATGTTTGAGGCAATTCAATGAGCTTGCTACGCCTCAAGTAGAACATGCACTCTTGTATTTCAACCTCAATCACCTTAGTTTCAAACCTTCTTTCTCAATCACTTGCTTCAATGCAGCGGAGCTGAAATCAAAAAAAACATGCCACACGCGGAAATTTGATCGGTCGAAGCCAGCAAACAGTGTGCCAAATACTTCTTTGCCAGCTTGCCCAGCCTACCCTTTAAAAAACACAAATGTTGGCATGCACAGGGGAGGTGGCACCTGGGATCCCAGCACAAACGCTTCCAAGCTGCTTATGAGCCCCAAGCGGCTATATGAGTATAATGTGACATGATCTGCTTCGAAAGTATGGACAACCGCCCCAAACAATCCAAATTCAAAAAAAGTAACCTGCACCCCAAAAGGAAACAAAGTGGAAACACCTGGTTTTTCCACAGGTTCCTTTTTTTTTGTGGTACTTTCGAAGCACTAGGTATGGGTCAATGGTGGCCCTCTTTGGGCATCTCGCGGTCTTTTTTTCGTTCTCGTTGATTTGCAAGAAACACAACATATCAACAATTCGTTTACTGGGACCAAACGTCTAGTCTAGTCTAGGCATCTTTCACCGTCATCTCTCTCTCTCTCTCTCTCGGGAAAAAGAAGTCGTCTCTCCGCCGACCGCCGCCACCGGTCGTCTTTCCGGACGTCCAAAGAACTACCACTGAGAGAATTGTTGGAAGAGCTATGCAAAAGGCTACCCAAATCATCAGGTTCACTCAAGTTCTTCTAGCAGTCTCGGTAAACATAATTTCGGTTGAGTAAGCAAAATCCTGCTATGTAAGCAGTGCTTATAGAAAGTGTTGAGGTGTCATCCAGGTTCGATATCCACATCCATGGTTCAACATGGTACACCCCAGATGTTGAACTCCCGGGAGTGTGGCAGGACGGCCCCCCCCATCGCCGCGGAATCCCACGTGGCCTTCGCCTGGCAAAGAGTGGAATCGAAAAGAGTCGAAGATATGTGATCTGCTGCGAAGATAGGTGCATGACATGGGATTTGTGGCTCAAGCTCACTCAAACAGTAGGAAGTCTTTGTCCCAATTCCAAAAAACCTGGCGTATACAGTTGATTTGGGTTCTGCATCAGGGACGACACAACAAAAGCCCACGTGTGGGGTCGACCCCATGTTCCAAGGTCGTCCTTGGAGGTCAATTTGGATCAATGGGCTCAAGGGCTGAAGCTCCAGCAGGCAGACTACAGGAGCTGCGCTTTCCCGCGTGCTGTGCTAAAGAAGGAATCCCAGATTGAACAGTGCTGAGCACGTCGAGCACGTCCGTCGAAGCCGCAGAAGCGAAGTACAAGGCCCAGAAATGGTCTACCGCAACTAGCATCCCTAAAAGTCACATACCCTAAAAAGAATTGTCTTTAGATGTCTTTTAGAGTACCTGAAAGAAAAAAACAGAACTCTCTTCACTTCATTGAGGCACAGTCTTTCGACTTCTAGGGCTACCAGATTCTACCAGTATTAGTATACAGTATATTCACGTACAGAAAAAAAATGCTGCTTGATATCTACAGTCCACACATAGGGCCACTCGATACCGAGCCAACAGCGCCGCGCCGTGTGGACACGGCCTGTCTGCATCCGTCGACCGTTTACGGCTCCGCGACGCGAGCGAGCGACGAAGCGAGCGAGCGCCTTTGATGAGCTGAAACGTTGGGCGCCGAAAGCGCTGCTGTACCTGGCGCCAGGTACAGCAGATTGGTGGCATCCATTGGAGTTGAGTTGCGAAAACGCGATGGCGTCCAATTGAGACAACACCCATGTTCTGCGATGGTTTGGGTCGGATGTGATGCAGAACAATGGGGAAACTGGATTGGATGTTGGATCTCGATTCGGAATTGCACTGAAATGGTGGCCACGACTGAACAAAAAACTGTTGAACTGTCTGGAAGCTTAGCGGAAGCTATTATAAGAATTCGGATCTGGTCATCTACATCACCAAGTCTGTTTATGGATCGTCCCTCCAGGTTTGATCGAAGTTGCAAGTCTGCCAAACTGCATCAAGCTCTATAGACTCTACAGCTTGAAGCCTCAAAGCTCGTCAGCAACTAAGACTTTGCGCATGCAAAAGATGTTTAATCATGCTGGGAATATACTGTAACTCTTTTGTTGGGAAGTAAGCATGATGTTTTCATCTTTTGGAGGTGAAAAATCCTCCTCAGGTCACAGGACCTTCGGTTTTCACTCCCACACAGGACTCTCGGCACCTCTTCACTCAAGGCTTGCAAACCTTCATCCTGCTCGATCTCCCGCATCATAGCGTCCAAAGTCTCCTGCACTCATTGTCATTGTGAACCGGATAACTGGATAACTCAGGCGCAGCTGCGCAGCTCTGGATGTGGAACTGGGTCGGAATTGGGAACTGGGAACCAACTGCGAGATGTTTGGAGTGAAACTTGGAAACGGGATCCCATGGAGGAAGAGACCTGACCAGAAAGAAAGGAAACCATCTGAAAATATCAACACCCTGAGATCCACTCCCTCCCCACCTGGTCGACACGACTTTGCTCCACATGCGTGGCCTCAACTGCTGTGCAGGCCATGAACCAAGATTGGGCGATGAAACACCATGAAAAAAAAAGTGATGTTGACATGGAGATCTGGGGAGCTGAATTCGTGTGCCCATCGAAAAACGAAGGTATTTCTACGAAGTTGGTCTGTAGGCGACAAACGAAGCTGGCCTGGTGCGAAGATGAGCTAATTAGCATCATGTGCACATCCAGGAACTACACAGCCTATAGATCAACCACGGAGTGAAAAGTCCCAGATGCCACTTCAGCTCGAAGCAAAGGAGCCCAAACCTTGGCTTAAAGCTGGTGACTGCTGGGTGAAGATCCAGGAGTTCGGAACATGAGTCCTGCTGAGAGTCAAAACATGCCCTGTCCCACACCTTTCACTTGACCAATGCCTGAGGTACCACTCCTTTTGGTACATCTTAGTAGCATTATGAAAAGTTTAGTTTTGTGTGTTTCCCTTATCCCCGTCACTTGTGCAAGTTTGCTGATGGACATGTTGCTTTTGGTCCTTGGTTCAGTGGTTTCCAGCCCCAGAACCTGTGAACTATGCCGACCATGCCAGTGTTCAGATTCCAGTGCTCGAGATCATCTAAACTTCTTGCAACAACAAACCTTTGACGAGGGCTTTTGGAACACCTGGAGGGCTTGTTCAGTAGACACAAAGGTATGAAGATGAATGAATTGATGCTTGCAAACCCACTGCTGTCCTGCACACTTGCTGCGCGTGTGTCTGTGCATGAACCCCCAAAGGCTTTTTCTTTCCGAAACCACTCCTGAGTAACTCCTGCTCTTCCAAATCCTCCAACTCCAGCGTTGTCGAACTTTTGTCATGCGGAACATCCTCTCTCTTCTTCCCAGCTGAAAGCCAAGCTGCCAGGGCGAGCAAAAGCCGAAGGCTTCTCATCTGCAAGGTGAGGAGACGAGCACAGCTGTTTCAGCGAGGTGAGGAGACGATGGCAGTCGGACTGAATGCTTCGGATGGCAAAGAATCCCTACCCAACCCAAATAAGTGTATCACATTTGGGTGCTATCGCTGAACTATTATGTCTGGGACAAATATGGAATATATTCCATGCGTGGACTGTCTGCGGACAACGCCATTGCATATCGAACGTCCACCGAGAAAGGACTCCTCTCCTCTCCTGCACTTAGTATGGAGCATGCACCATGCAACACAACATTTTGATAAATAAACATATTTGACGAAGGACAACCACTGCCTCACTAATTATAGCTGAACACAGCTTCTACTTCATCCGAGTCAGTTCTTCATGGAGAATCTTGATTTCTTCATGAACGCTGTCCGTCCAACGTTCCTTTTAAGCACCACCACAAAAGGGACACTGAAAGAACGTATTACTTTTGGGCCGGGAGGGACCTTTAGTAAATTAAGGAACTCCGAACTGTGAATTCATGTTGCCGGTTCTGTCAACGTTCAAACGGTTTCTCATGGTTTCTCGCTTGAAGTTTCCGATGCTTGAAGAGGTGACGTACGAGATTCGTAGCTGCTCAATTTAAGCAGCAATGATTGCTCAGTTGACCCAGAACAAAGGCACCACCAGCAATCGACACACAGCGTACCTCGATAGTTCAGTATGGGCGCCCGCAGATGGGAAACACCCCGGATGGCGTGAATGCTGAGTCTTGAGCCAAGCAGGACGAAAGGTTTTGTGAGATCTCTCGTTTGTGGGCTCACCCAACTCTGAGCAAAAACTCCGTACTACTATGCACTGCCTGAGATGAAGAGTATCAGAATATCCTTGCACATCCAGCACAGTTCTACCATCTTTGGTGATGCAAATTCCTTCAGTTGTAGCATGGCCATTTAAGACCTTCTACCTGAGTTTGCATCAGGAAACAATCCTTCTTCTATAGCTCGGCGTGTCTCGGCATGGCGGGGAGATTTACATGCGGTAAGTGGGAAAGCAGCAAATGAACACAATTTGGCAAGAAAAGTCCTGGCCCCCTCTTTCTAAAAGCAAACTCTTCATCACTGGTTGATACCGTTGATACCGGTTGATCCATGATTTGGACTCCTCATCTTGGACCTAGCGGGCCTAGCTATACTTAGTAAACCAATTGTGAATGTCCCAGTCGGACTGTTGAACATTGCATGAACCTGAGGACGTGGCGGCGCCAGCGAGCGTGTGACTCCACGATGCGTCTCCCACCGTTGCGTTGCAGTCCCTTTTTGGGGTGATCGATGGTGATAGTGCTTAATTTCGGTTCATGTGCACCAAGCACCACATACCAATGTACCAGCCAGCCAACCAACCAACCAGCCAGCCAACAAAGCAACTCATAATTCTGCATATAGAACCAATGCTAGAATGAGGCCGCATATGACATGGGCTCGATGTTTTGCCAAAGCGGTACCAATTTCATGTTGGGGGCTCTGGGACGGTCTATGGTTTTAAGTCTTTGGAACCACTGGATACCAGCAAACCAATGGTTGGATCCATTGGGGAACAAAAGATTCCTATAGGGACTGCTCAGGAGGTACGACTGGACCCTCCTGGCTACATCAAAGTGTCTTCACACATCACCAAACCTCAGAGGGTGGCAGAAACGACACCGGCACCTGATGCATCCGTCACTCGCCACCGGCACCGTGGCTCCAGACACGGCTCGCGTCGGCTGGCTCCGGTCCACCCACACGACGCTCAATGGCCTTGGTGCTTAAGGAACTGAAGGTTCCATGCTTCACAGGTGACCATGGAACTTTGAAAACTATGGAAGGTGAAGGCCGTCTTCTAGAAAGAAGCAGAACCATGATGAACAAATGTGAACTTGGAACCCAGGCATTTTGTGATATGATATACTATATATATGTATATGTTATCAAAATTCACATCCTCGTAAAAAAAAAACGGCTTAAACCTGTGCGGAGGGTGAACGTGGTATTTTAGAATGAACGCCACAACGCTCGCCAGGGCGGACGCGTGAACGGACGTGCGGGCGAACGGTGACACGTACCAATGAACGGATGAACGTGCGTGTAATATATACCACACTCAGAGTCAGCAGCTTTCCTTTGGTTCAGGGTGGCAGTCTGAAAATGCCAGCAGCGTCAGTCGAATTCAGAAATTGCCGCCTCACCAGTTCCATCATGTTCCATCGAACTATATTAAGTTGTTCCGCTAGATAACCAAGTCATTTCTCACAGTGTCAAATCTTTGTGAAACACCCTGCCATGTCACTTCCTATGCAGTGTGAGTTGGGTCTGAAAACATGCATTAGTTTTGCTCTATCACCTTGGCGGCCTTGCTGTGAGGTGGTTCACCATACTACAAATATCATTGGCTTCCTCCTCCTCACTCTCAGAAGCACATCTCAAGGAACTCAACACAGCCAGGATGACAGCGATGGCCACGTTGCCAGCAAAACTAAGTTGGAAGTGTTCGCGTTGGAGTTGAATTGGATCATCTCAACTACAGTAACTACAGTGCAGTAACATTCCAAGACGAACACAGCTCAGATTCATTCGATTCATATCATTTCATATATCATACCATATCATAATGCCATCCGTCTCATTCATTATCAAGTAACTTATTTTTAATGTTATCAAATAGTTACTCAGAATTAGAATCATAAAATGCCAATTCAACATACACACCGCGCCAGTACTTACGGGTTTGCAGCTTGCAGACAAAAGACGCGTTGCCTGCTAAATCTTGCAGCTGGTTCTCTGTGTACTTCTTTGCAACGTGAGGCTCAACACTATGCCCCTGCAACCTCAAACTCTCCTGGCCAAGGATAAGTCTTTGCCGGACAAAAGACCAGCCTATGGTCCTGGGCAGCACAATGGGAAAATGCCCAGTGGAGGACGCATACCTGTCTGCCGAGTGGTAGATATCGCAATAGTCCATAGATCTTTGCAGCCTATATTTTTCATCGGCTGCAAAGCCCAGCACCTGGCACCACAATTGCCAAGGTTCAAAGCCAATGTATGTTGATAGTACAGGTGCAGTGCAAATAAGTCTAATCTCAGATCTTTATTGTTAATTTATTGTCTATTGTATTGCTTCATGACTCCATCCACACCATTTACACAGACACCGAAAGATGATGCCTCCTGCGCCCTCTCTGTCAGGCAATTGAACCACTTGGATCTCCCAACTTCATCAGGAATCTTGATTGGCCACATAATGCCACCTCAGAAGAAACCAGGATAAGTTCATTTGGTCACATCAAGTCACATCATAAAATTGAAAATCTTATTAATGTCGCAACGTCAGTACAGTCTAGTCTATCTCAGTCAATAGTTCCACAGCAACTGTGACACAGTAGCCAAAATAAAGGGAAAACAATCACATCGTGCCAAAGGCACGTTTCTCTGCAACATTCATGTGAAGAGCATACCAGCTTGGATTCTTGGTAGAAGCAAGGTCTTCTTTTGCATTCTCCTTTTCTTTCTTTTCCGCCCGCTCGCGCTCCAGATAAGTGAAATACCGCACGACTGCAGGGTCTGAGTCATCCATCAAGAACTTGTCCTTACTTGAACATTTAACAATTTCCATTGGATTCCATTGTGAATCATATTATTATCCATATTATCATAGAATCAACTGAAAACAGGTCTGTTTGTATGCCATATGGTATGGACTCTGGACCGTATGAATCGTATGATTCAATGAATCAACACGGACTGACTAAACATCAACCAAACATCTGCAGGAGGAGGCGTCATGTATAGTTTGCCGAGAAAGTTCTTCACGCTTGTGAAAAACTCATCTGCGGAGCATGCAATCTCTGGATGCTTCGTAGAGAGGCACACCAGGTAGATTCGACGTCTGCTTTGGGGAAGTCCATACCAAAGAGCATCGAGCAAAAAGCTTTTGCAAGCATAGCCCTTTTTATCAATTTCTTCCAAGCATTTCTCCAAGTTGGTTTGCCTTATCTTGTGACCAGAATTCTGTATAGTCTAGTCAGTTTGGTCTAGTCTAGTACAAGTCGTCTAGTCTAGTCAGTATTGTGACCACAAACAGGTGAGTGATACGGTATCAATCGATATGGATGATTCATTCGGTGCATAATTTATGATTTGATCTTTGAAACAAACATCGATTTGATAAGATAAGTCGCAACCCCTCGTCCACCTCCCGATCAATGCTCTCCACATTCTCAAAGATTGCCCACATGGGATTGCTCGTATCCAACACTTGTAGACATGCGTGAAAGGTTGTGACGCTCTGCACAGCACCCTCAGCAACTGTGACTTTGCATAGCAACTGTGATGTCTGTCTATATGTCATTGTGTCATCGACATCGACTCATCGTCGAAGACTAATAGACGGTAGACGTGACATAGACAGTGATTCATAGACTCATAGACTCATAGACGTGACATAGATGTGACATAGACATTAGACATGACATGACATAGAGTACTAGTACTGACTACTGCTTTCTATCCGAGAAACTTCTGGGTCATTGGGATCTTTGTGCATAGCTGTGGCATTTTTCTTGCTGTCTTTGTTGAGATGCGAATAAGAAGTGCAACTGAACCCGGCTCCGAATGCTGCTAACGGTGGAAGTTCACAGGCATCATTGTGCTTGGCGCATACTCTCTTGTTTGGGTCGTCCAGCACAGTGGCATCCTTCCATCGAGCATTTAGCAGCATGGAGTCATAGTCTAGTCATGTGTAGTTTAAGTTTGGTAAAACAGGAAGAAGGTCCCACATTCATTGAACAACAACCCAAGACACAACACTCCGTCCTTGAACATGCAGAAATCCCCTGGCATGTGCTCCGCGCAGAAGGCGGCTTTGAAATCCACACACTCCGCTCCAAACAAAGGATTCACCTAGCATGGCCCGCACGTGCTCATGCAACTCTACAAAACACTCAATGTGACCGTGCCGTGCCTCATAATCCATCCCAAACGCATGCTCGTGCAACTCTAGTACTGTACTGTATACTGTATACTGTACACTGCTCGTAATTCACAATGTGACCACGCCTCATAATCCATCCCAAACAAAAGACGGAGAGCATGGTAAGCCGTGGTGACGCAGTCTTCAAACCTGAGTTTGGGCATTGGCATCAGTGCGGCATCAGCAAAGAATCATTTCATTTCTAACAAGTGCAAGTGCTGTGTATACTGTACACACACCTTTACATCAACCCTCAATCGTTTGTCATCAACCAATCATTGAAATTGAAATGAAAACTCTCATTGGAAATGACTCATCATATGACAACTCTTTATTTTTGCAACGCAACGCACCAGTGCCAGAACAAATGCTTCCAATATCAATTGATGAAGGTTGGCTCTTCACGTTCTCAAAGAGGTTGGAAGACGGGTCTTGGGAATGGTGTTGGAGAAGAAGAGCGATCATGACCTCAGATTTATTTTTCATCCACTTGGTGGCTTGTGCAGATAAATGATTCATTTCTGAATATGACTCATGAATCATGAATGAATGAATGAATCAATAAGTCAACGAGTTTAGACAAGATTTTAGTCTAGAGTCTAAAGCCTATAGCCTATAGCCTATTTACTAACCTGTTTCAGCCAAATTGCTTTTGCTGTGCTGCTATGCAGGTCATCATGAGCAGGATACTGCTGCAGTTGTGTGTTCACAAAGTCCTCACAGTCCTTCAAGTTGGCCCGTCCATCTCCCCCAATCTTTGGCCGCCACGCAAAAAAGCTGTTAAAGTCAGACTCAGACCCATCATGTTGGGTCTCAGGTTCACCTTGGCTGCCTGAGCTGGACAACACTTCTGGAAGCATAAACAACTGGGTTGAAGAGAACACAAATCCAATCGCGTTGTAGTTGTTAGTTATTATTAGTCATTTTAGTAAGTCTGATGTGACACCATGGACCATGACCATGACTCATGACCCATTCATTACCATGACCACAACACTCTTGACCATGGGCGAACATCTAATGGCCAATTGCCAAGTTGCAACCCCCAGACACAGGAATTCTGATGTTCAATTCCTTTGGCTCTTGTTTCACCGGAATCTTAATCTTCTTCTTGGGAACGCTCTTGGCAGCTGTGGGTGTAGGAGGCGTAGGCGTAGGTGTCGTTGTGGCAACTTGTCCTGTAGCAACTTGTCCTGCTGGTTCGCGTGTTGACTCCTGCGCAAAGCCGCTCGGCTCCAATAAGTTGACTGGGCTGGGTAGGTTTGGCTGTTGTCCCATCCTTCTTGGTCTCCAGGAAAATGGGTGTTTCTTGAAGGCCAAATTGTCTTGTTTGTGTCTTCTTGACTTTTCATACTGTCTTCTTCTGCGTTGATGTGTTTTGGACTTCATGTCTGGAACACCTACAGCGTCTGAGTCTGATTCACTGAAGTCTTGTTCAAAAGTCTGCAGATGAACAAAGATGGATTCATCTCGAAATCTTTTGCAAGTTGAGACTTCAATGTCTGCAATGACTTGTGCTTCTGCAAAGGACAGCGCCTCCTCCAAGCCGTGCTTGACAACAAAGCGAGCAAAATCCTGAAGGTCAGCCAAAGGGTCGCCATTCTCAAAGTCAGCAAACCCAGGATAGTCTTCCTCACCCACCTCCTCCAAGACAGTGGCAACGTACCGTGCCAGCAAGGGATGGCTCTTGGCGGCTTCTACGGCTGCCACAAACGTATCTTCATCAAATTGTTCAATCATCTCATCGGTCATGTTGGAGAAATCAAAGGACATAGGATTGCTAGCGGCGCTA